CTCGGGCCCGCCGGCCGGCGCGGGCCCGAGGGGGAGGAGGAGGAGGAGGAGGAGGAGGGAGGAGGAGGAGGAGGAGGAGGAGGAGGAGGAGGAGGAGGAGAGAGGAGGAGGAGGAAGGAAGAGGAGGGAGGAGAGGAGGAGGAGGAGGAGGAGGGGGAGGAGGAGGAGGAGGAGGCGGAGGAGGAGGAGGAGGAGGAGGAGGAGGAGGGGGGAGGAGGGAGGAGGAGGAGGAGGGGAGGAGTGGAGCCGGCGAGGTCCCCCCCCCCCCCCGCGGCGGCGGAGCGGCAGCGAGGCCGAGAGGAAAGGGGGAGGGAGGAGGCGGAAGGCACGAGAGCGGGGGGGGAGGGGAGGAAGAGGGGGGCGAGGAGGAGGAGAAGGAGGAGGAGGAAGGAGAACTAGAACTTAAGGTCACTCCGGCGAAAGGTCACTCTTGCGTCTGGTCGACTCTGGGCCTCCGGCGGCCGCTCCTGGGTCCCGGCCAAGGCCATCTGCAAGTGGCTCTCCGGGCGCAGCATGCCCCCCTCCCGGGGGAAGAGGCCGGGAGCTCTGGGGCCGCGGATGGCAGAACGCCACACCGGAGGACGTCTGGGCCCGCCCCCCCCCGCGGCGGAGCAGCAGCGAGGCCGACAGGAAAGAGGAGGGAGGAGGCGAAGGCACGAGAGCGGGGGGGGAGGGGAGGAAGAGGGGGACGAGGAGGAGGAGGAGGAGGAGGAGGAGGAGGAGGAGGAGGAGGAGGAGGAGGAGGAGGAGGAGGAGGAGGAGGAGGGGGGGGAGGAGGGAGAAGTAGAAGTGCGGGGCCCGGAGCTCCATCAGAGAAACAACTGCGGCAAGAAAATATAGATAGCGGGCTTTTCACTCATCAACATCAGTATACACTAGAACCATGGCGCGCGCGCGCTTCGCGCGCGCTCGAGTTCCAGTTAGGCTTGATGGGCTCACTCATGGAAAATAATTTTAGTCGGTTCTTGCATCCATGGACTCTGTTGGAGGCCCTGCGCAAGCCTGGGAATCGTATAGAACTGGTCTGTTGTGCAAGAGTTGACAGGGGGCGAACTTGAAAAAAAAACATTGTGGGTTTCTATGTTGTTGTGTTTTGTTGCCGTGCCTGGGTTGTTGCTTGCGTGAAATAATAGGTATCGGGTGTGATCCACACGTAAGTTATTTGCTTGGCAAACACAAAAACTTCTACAAATCATGGGATCATGGGGCAGCCGAGACGACACGATGACGATCCAAGAGTGCCAAGACAGCGTTAGAAAGTTCAACCAGATTCCCGAACAATCTTCGCATGTGACCCCGAGGTCTTGATGTGGCTCGAGGAAGAGGATATGGAATAGGAGTTCCAACTAAAAAACATAAAATCTTCCGGAATTCATAGTTTTGTTCAAGTTCCTCGGTCTTCGAAATCTCTTGGAGGCTTTCTGGGAACCTGGAAAGCCGACCGAAGGCTATCTTGGGTTGATTGGGAGCGTCCTGGGCCGTTCTTGTACGTTCTGGAAATTTCCGGGGGTCGTCTTAGGTTGTCCTTGGGCGTTTTGGGGGGCCCAGGGGCCAGCACGCGCGGTACTGGGACGTTCCGCATATGTTCTTGGAAAAATGTGGGACCCCCTGGAGGGGGGGGGGGGGGGCGTACGTGTAGAACTTGATACAGGGAAAATCTGGACTTCGTTTTCTCCCCCAACCATCCTGTGGTGTTGGGTCTTCGCTTTGACAAGACAGCGCCTCGCGTTCGTTCCTCCTCCCGCTGCCCCCCCTCCCTCTCCCCATCATCAGCATCATCGTCACTATCATCTTTATCGCCCGCCATCCACCAGCATCATCCTACGCAGTATCATCATCATCCACATCCTCATCATCATCTTCATCATCATCATCGCCCCCACCACCCATGTCGGCACACCCCTCACACGCTTCGTGGCCCCATCGTTCCTTCGTTCGCACTGTAGGCTACGGCAGCCCATGGGCGCGAATGTCAGCTGATCAACTAAGCAAATCCACTTGGCGCACTGATTGGTGCCAACTGGAGGCGATACTTACGGCATGTTGTAGACGGAAAGTGCCTCAGGTCAATCGGATTGCGTAGGGCAGCACGCTTCGGACCAATTCATCCCCTGGCCTCCCGGTTCGACGGACGCACCTGTCGGCGGCGGGGCGCAAGGGGAGGCCAGGCTGGAACGGGGCCGCTCGCATCTCTGAGTTGTCTGGCTGGCGTAAGACACGACCTAGTAAACCCAACTGCCTGCGTCGGACATGCACAGTAGCTGCCTCAAAGCCCGCGCGCTGCAAGACAGTAGCGCTAGATACCCTCGAAGTGAATGATGGCTTTATGCTGAGGACTCGTCTCAAACATTTGGCTTGAAACCCGTGGAGTCAGCGAGGGTCCGCCTCCGTGAAGCAGCCTGCCGGCAGCGCGCACAGCAACGCGGACTCGACCAGTGACTGATATACCAGAAGACGCTGCATAAGCAGCAAAGACAAAAGTTCCCAGACTTGGCAGAGGACGCGGAAGTCTGCTGCTGCCATTCCAATCCGCCGGCATAGCTCCTGGTTCACTCCACCATCCGCTGACAGCGAAGATCCAACATAGACAATGCTGTCCTCACTCGGCATGGTTCCCCTGGAGGCACACCGGTTTGCGCAAGTTGGCCTGGGGCGCAACTCGAGGCCGCACGCGCTGCCAGCCCGCGCCGCAGCCTCCGCGAACTGCTGCGCGCGCTGCAGCCGCGCCCAAGAACAGCACGTCATCGGCGAAAGCAACGTCGGCCAAACATTCCTGTCGATATGCCTCTGCTACGGGGCCAGGAAGCACGGCGACCGCGCACTCCATCTACGCCGACATCAGCGTTATGAACAGCAACGGGTTCAATGTGCACCCCTGCGAAACACCAGATCGCTGCGGCCGCTCATCCGATTCGGCACCGAAGTCTTCAACGAAAAAACGCCTGTTCAACATTGTATCGGATGATGCGCACATACTTCGGTGTCATTCCAAAACGCGAGACGGCGCGCAGCAACTGCTCTGCGTGCACGCTGTCGAAGGCCCCGCGTCAATCGAATGCCAAGGAGGATGCCGGCCCCTCGCACTCAGCGCGCGCGACCTCAAGATGCCCCCCGGCTACGAAGACGGCGTCTTCCGCGCAGTCATCAGTGCGAAATCCGCACTGCGATGGCCAAATGCGGCCGTCAAGCCCAGCGTCTAACGTTGTTTCGGCATGCTCGCATACAGCCTGTAAGCGACTGAAGTTAAGCAGATCGGTCTGTAATTGCCCGCGCACGACGGGTCGCCCTTTCGAATATCATGGACACTCGCGCTGCCAACCAATCGTCTGGAAGCGCTTCCAAAGCCGCGCACTCGCCCATGACGCCCAGGAGAGGTTGTAAGCACTTGCCCTCCGCAGAAGCAAAAACTCTGTAGATTTCGATGGGGGCGTCGTTCTCCTTCACGCGCTGGCTGGGTGGCACGCCAACAATGGCCCTCCGAAGTCCCTTCTGCATGGAATCGGCCCTAGTAATTTCTAGCCGCGGCTGCCCGCAATCCGAAGACTCTGGCAAGACCGTGGCGCGTCGAACTTTCCACTGCATCTGCTCCGGGAAATCTACGAAAGCCCCAGCTCGTTCTTCAGCGCTGACTGCCTCCCCGGCGCGGCGCTGCATCTGAGTCCGCCGCGCGCGCCCCCCCTTCCCTGGGCGACGAAGCGACGCCCGCGCGCCCCCTGCAGCGAGCTTCCGGGGCCAAGGTGATCTGTCTCGCCGCGCGGACATGTTGATTTCTTTGGCAATCATTCGTTCGCCTCCACAATCTCCTGAAGATCGCAGCTCAGAGCGGTAGTTGATACACTTCAGAGCGCACTCGCGGACGCACGGACTGCGCCTCGTCCGCGGCGCGGCCGGCAAGAGAGCCATGGTGCCCAGGAAGCTTTTCTGAAAAATGCTCCAGCCATTGACGCTTGAGAGAGATCCAAGCCAATCGCGACCATCTACTCTTGGCGAATCCAGGAAGGCTTTCTTGATTTCTGGTTGATCCAACGACGCAGGGTCGATTGGCCTTCTGCGCCGGGGCATCCCAGGCTGCCCCCGGCAGGAAGAGAGCCGCGCGCGCGGCAGAAAATGGCGCGACGAGAAACCGACAAGCCCGTCACTTTGCACTGCGATCAAGCCGCCCAACGCCTCCAGCGGAGCAAATACCAAGCCTGGCATTGCAAAATTCCTCTCCGGAATCTCGGCCGACGGGCAGGCGCGCGGCCCGTAAACGCGACTCGTTCGTCGACCTCGCTGGACAAGAAAGCGTTCGCCACTGCATGGCCCCGGCCAAAACAGAGTCCGGTCATCATGTCGCTGTGGTCTGAGACATTAACTGGGGCTTGTGTCTCCTGCCCAAAGCAATGCCTTCCGACGACGCCCTCCTCTCCAGACCTCTGCCCCCCCAGCCCGGCGCCGAAGTCTCCGACGATAAACCTGCGTCCCCGGACCCGCGCGCCATCCGAATGCCGCTCCAACTCCCCATATAAACTAGCGCGCTCTCCACGCGGCCGCCCGTTGCGAGTTGCGCGCGCGCCTGATGGCGATCGCCCTCTTCGAAGATGCGACCTCGAGGCACGCCGCGCGGTTGTTGGCGGGGAAGAGGCCGACAACGCGCTTGAGGAAGCCTCGGGAGACAATGAAGCCTGCGCCCGCCTACTCGCACGCCCCCGAGCTCGGCCCGGAAAAGCCCACTGCGCGTCCTGCGTGCCATTCGAAGGCGTCTGCGTTCATCCGCCCGGACTCGGGCATCACCGTGACATCGATGGCGTTCACCTCCGCGCGCATGCAAGCGCGCTGAATTCCGTCGCCCGTCGAGCACTCGACGTTCCGGGAACATGCGCCGGTGATCTCGCCGCCGCTTGAAGGCGCAGGAAAATCGACGAAGAAACATGCAATGAATTACCCATGGGCTGCCGCGTCTCCCAGTTTTGGGAGCCACTCCACTCCTTGCCCCCCATCCCCTCGCAGGCTTTCGCGCG